AGAGTCCATAGGAGGAGAGGATTTAGGGGTGGTTGGACTTAGAACTTCTGGAAAGGATTCCCAGACAAGACAAACATTCAAGTGAAAGAGGACTATCATGGCACCAAGGGGGAATGAAGAGGCCTACCCTTTCCAAAAAAGAATGGGGCTGACCCTGTATACACAAGCCATCATCTCTGGTGCACTATGGGCTGGATAAGCAGTGTGCTGTTTCTTGGAGTCCATATTGATAGTCTCAGGGAATTGAGGCTTTTGAATTGTTATAGTTCCAACCTTGGTAAACATCAAGGCAAAGATGATGTCAGTTGAAGATGAAGATTATCCATTTTCCCTTTCCCCAGAAATATTAGGGGTTCCAATCCTGTGCTTTCAAGCAGTTTCGTTAAAGTCTATAGGTTGCCTGTCAAATTCTGGATGAGATAATTTGCTTTCCTGAATTCTATGTGGGGAATCCAAGGAAGATTAATATTTTAATAAGTGAGCTTGATTTAGGTCAGCAAAGGAATTGGGAAACACTGAGGAAGAACCCATGAAGAATGAATGGAAAATCCTGATGGGGCTTTGGGAATCTCCTACTCCCTCCCATGTATAGCGATTTGGGCCTCATCTTTCCCAGAATTATTATTAGTCAGTTTGCAGAAAGGCTGAGTAAAATGCTGTTTCTAGCTTGTATATGGTTAGCTGAGGGCAGTGCATTATTTGGAGGAGGTAGTGGTCCACAGTCCTCTTGGGAGAATCCTACCCCTGAGGGTTAGGGTCTTAAAGAAAGAATGGAAGGACGCCTCCCTGACCACTACAGAAATAGTTAAGGGAATGTGCTCTTTATCTAGGCTGTGTCGTGGGAATTACTAGGCAAGGTTGCAGCTCTAAACATTGTTTCCTTACATCAAATGTCAGCAGTCTGTGGGATCGGAGGCTTTGGAACAGGCTGGGACTCAGGAGAAGTACTGATCTGGAGGGGAGGACCATGAAGGACGGTTGGGAGCCTTCCCACCCCTACAGAAATAATAAGGCTTTAGTCTTCTATGACCAGATTGTGGCTGTGGGAAACTCTAGGCAATGTTGAAGTCTAAACATTGTTTCCACAGCTCAATATCAGGACTATGGGACTTGAGGTCTTTGAGATGAGCCTATGAGACTGGAACTGGTTTATCAGGACCAGTCTTGGCCTTGAGTGGGAGGAGCCTCAGACAGTAGTGGGGGCTTTCTATTTCTGAACAAAGAAAGGTGTGGCCAATCCCACTTGCACAGACCTTTGCCACAGAGGCATCCAGTCTATTCGAGCTTGGTGTTTGTTACCTGGAGCTCCGTGTCGGAAGTCTAAGGGAGGTAAGGCCTTTTGTGAGAGGGCATTGGGTTTAGTAGAGCACAGGTTCCAACCTCAGGGAATATTGATAAGAGAGCTCTGAGAGTGTAATAACAAGTTGAGGGATGGTTGGATCCATACATATACTGGGTGTGTCCAGTATTCATCTCAGAAATGATCCAGAAAGGGTAAGTGCTATATTAGTTCAGCTTTCATCTGGGATACTGAAAGCAGTAAGATACAGAGAGTGGGCAGAACTAGCTAAGCAAGGAATAAGTCCACGTCTAGAGGAATGTAAGAAATGGAGAAATAGATGGCCTTGGAAGGACAGTGATGGAAGACTGGGAAACTTGGTTTGTAGCAAAAGTAATAGGTGGTTATGAACCCTTCCCTGGATGAGATGCTTTTAGGGAGGGAGATAAACTTATTTCATTGAAGGATAATTTGAGCCTTTTCTTCCCATGAATGGAGGCATAAGTAGTCTAAGTTGTTGATGTAGGAGATCCAGGAAGACCCAAGGAAAATGGGTTCATGCTGTTTGTTCCTCCAGAGTTAGAGGGAGATAAGGCTTTTTATCAGGTAGCTGGACTATGGCTGTCAGAGCAGTCCGAACTCCGGAAACCGGAAGGGACTAATGCAGGGATTTGGGGCCTACCCCTTTCCCACAGCTAGAGAGGTTGTTCCACTATCTCAAACAGCATTCATCTCAGGAAAGCTTTAGGCA